ATCTAAGTAACTCTAACTGACTACTTTAAAACATAGCACCTTCTGCTGCACTTTTCTACTGAGCACTTGTCAGTTTCACACGGTTTTATTTCTGATAGCAAGAAGTAGCTAGCCTAGGCTAGCGCTAGCTTAGCATTGCTATGGCTTCTCTCTCTCCCTCCCTTGACTCTTTTCCAACTCTTCCTTCTTCCTCTCCTCTCTCCTGCTCTCTGTGTCAGATGTTCAGTTATTCCTCTGCCTCCTTTAGTGATAATGGGATGTGTAATAAGTGTAGTATTTTTGTAGCTTTGGAGGCGAGGGTGTCAGAGTTAGAATCCAGGCTTCAGGCTGTTGAAGTAGGCCCCCCACGTAGCTGTCCTCCAAAAGTGCCTGAGCAGCCAGGCGATTGGGTAACTGTACGCAGAAAGCGTAGTCGTGGATCTCTGCCCACTGGTCACCACCAACCCGTTCACGTTTCTAACCGGTTTTCCCCACTCAGTGACACACCCACTGAGAAGCCCACTCTGGTGATTGGCAGCTCCATAGTCAGAAACGTGGCATTAGAGACACCAGGGACCATAGTCAAATGTTTGCCGGGGGCCAGAACGGGCGACATCAAATCCTACCTGAAACTACTGGCTAAGGATAAGGTTAAATACAGTAAGATTGTTATTCACGCTGGTGGTAATGACACCCGGTTACGCCGATCGGAGGTCACTAAAATTAGTGTTGCTTCGGTGTGTAAGTTTGCCAAAAAAATGTCGGACTCCGTAATTTTCTCTGGTCCCCTCCCTGATCTGACCAGTGATGACATGTTTAGCCGCATGTCGTCATTCAACCGCTGGTTGTCTAGGTGGTGCCCTGAAAACAACGTGGGCTACATTAATAATTGGCAATCCTTTTGGGGAAAGCCTGGTCTGATTCGGAGAGACGGCATCCATCCCACTTTGGATGGTGCAGCTCTTCTTTCTAGGAATCTGGCCACATTTATTAGTCCTCCAAAACCCTGACCACCCAGGGTGCAGACCAGGAAGCAGAGTTGTAGTTTAACACACATCTCTGCAGCTTCTCTACTGTTACCCACTCTTTACTCCATCCAGACAGTGTCCTGCCCACGACCAAAATCTAATAAATTAGCAAAGATTCCCAAAGGAGTAAATCATGATAATCTAATTAAAATCAAAATAACTCCAATTGGGGAAAAAGTTAAAACAATTAAATGCGGTCTGTTTAACATAAGATCGCTTTCCTCTAAAAGTCTACTAGTTAATGACTTGATTTGTGATAATCACATTGACTTGTTTTGCCTTACAGAAACCTGGCTGCAGCAAGAGGATTATGTGAGCATAAATGAGGCAACTCCTTCAAGCTATTTAAATTTTCACATCCCCAGAAGTTCTGGGCGAGGAGGAGGAGTAGCAACAATCTTCCAGTCTGACTTACTGATTACTCCCAAAACAATTAATACCTACAACTCTTTTGAACATTTAACCCTTAATTTCCCTGATCCAAATTTCAAGGCAAGAAAACCTCTTCTTTTTGTAACTTTGTATCGTCCACCAGGTCCTTACTCTGAATTTTTAGATGAGTTTTCAGAGTTCCTTTCTGATTTGGTATTAAATACTGACAGGGTCATCATAGTGGGAGATTTTAACATCCATGCTGACATTGAAGGCGATAGCTTAAGAGCAGCCTTTAATGCTATCTTAGACACTATTGGCTTTGTTCAAAATGTGAATAGTCCCACGCATTCTCATCTTCATAATTTGGATCTTGTGCTGACATACGGCATAGAATGTGAAGAAATAACAGTATTTCCTCACAACCCTGTCCTCTCTGACCACTTTCTAATAACCTTCAGGATTACTTTAACAGAGTTCTCCTCCCCCAAAAGAAGGTTCAATTTTAGTAGATCTTTATCAGATAGTGCAGTTATAAATTTTAAAGAATCTGCTTCACTTTCTCTCTGCTCTGTGTCACTGAGCAGTGCTGCAGAGTGCAAAAGCTTAGCTTATTCCCCTTCACAGGTTGATGATTTTGTTGATGGGGTTGCTAGTTCTCTGCGTATTGCCTTAGACAACGCAGCTCCTTTGAAAATGAAAACCGTTAAAAATAGAAAGCTTGCTCCTTGGTTTAATGCAGAGCTGCGTACTTTGAAGCAAAATGCTAGGAAACTGGAGAGAATATATCGCTCCACAGGCCTGCGAGAGTCCTTCCTAGTCTGGAAAAATGGTTTACTGCTGTATAAGAGGACCCTTTGTAAAGCAAGAGCAGCATACTTCTCCTCATTAATAGAGGAGAATAAGAATAATCCTAGATTTCTTTTTAATACAGTTGCCAAACTCACCCAGAGCCATAGCTCTGTTGAACCGTCCATTCCACCTGCTCTTAGCAGCAATGATTTTATGGGATTCTTTATAAATAAGATTGATCTTATTAAAAATAAGATCATAAGCACTCCTCTATCCGCGATTGTACCTGAGGTAGTCATGGAATCTGAACCGGGTTTAGACTGCTTTGATCCAGTTGAACTCTCTGAATTAGCAAAATTATTGTCTTCATCTAAGCCTTCAACTTGTATGTTAGATCCAGTTCCAACCAGGTTATTTAAGGAGGTATTCCCTTTGATCTCCTCCTCCATTTTAGATGTGATTAATCTATCTCTGTTACAGGGATATGTACCTAAAGCTTTTAAGATTGCTGTAATTAAACCTCTGCTTAAGAAACCGTCTCTTGACCCAGATGACTTGGTCAATTATAGACCTATATCCAATCTTCCTTTCTTATCCAAAATTCTTGAGAAAGTAGTTGCCAAACAAGTTTGCGATCACTTCCACCATAATGAACTTTTTGAAGAGTTTCAGTCTGGCTTTAGAGCTCATCATAGCACTGAAACAGCTCTGGTGAAAGTCACTAATGATATTCTCATGGCCTCAGATAATGGACTTGTATCTGTGCTCGTCCTGTTGGATCTTAGTGCTGCATTTGATACAGTTGACCATAATATTCTTTTAGAAAGACTTGAATATTTTGTTGGAATTAAAGGAACAGCACTAGACTGGTTTAAATCTTATCTATCTGATCGAATTCAGTTTGTTCATGTTAATGATAGATCTTCAACACGCTCAAAGGTTACCTGTGGAGTACCACAGGGATCAGTGCTAGGACCAATTCTCTTTACTTTATACATGCTCCCAATTGGTAGAATTATTAGACAGCATGGGATTAATTTCCACTGTTATGCTGATGATACCCAGCTATATCTGTCTATAAATCCAGATGAAGCTAACCCATTACATAGATTACAGACATGTCTTGAAGACATAAAAACCTGGATGACTCTCAACTTTCTGCTTCTGAATGCAGACAAAACAGAAGTTATAGTCTTTGGACCAGAGTCTCTGAAAAAGAAACTGATTAGCCAGTCACTTCATTTGGATGGGATTAAACTGATTTCAGATAATAAAGTAAAAAATCTTGGTGTTATTTTTGATCAGGACCTGTCATTTAAATCCCATATCAAAGAGGTTTCTAGAATTTCCTTCTTTCATCTGAGGAACATTGCAAAAATTAGAAATATCCTGTCCAGGGGTGATGCTGAGAAACTAGTCCATGCATTTGTTACTTCAAGGCTGGACTATTGTAATTCTTTACTATCAGGAAGTCCACAAACTGTAGTTAAAAGCCTTCAGCTGATCCAAAATGCTGCAGCCAGAGTTCTAATGAAAATAAAAAAGAGAGATCATATCTCTCCTATCCTGGCTTCTCTTCATTGGCTTCCTGTTAAATCAAGAATAGAATTTAAAATCCTCCTTCTCACATATAAAGCCTTAAATGGCCAAGCTCCATCTTATATCAGAGATCTGATTGTTCCTTATGTTCCTAACAGAGCACTTCGCTCTCAATCTGCAGGTTTACTAGTGGTTCCTAGAATTTCTAAAAGTAGAATGGGAGGCAGATCTTTTAGTTATCAGGCTCCTCTCCTGTGGAACCAACTACCAGTTTTAGTCCGTGAGGCAGACACCCTGTCTACTTTTAAGGCTAGGCTTAAAACTTTCATTTTTGATAAAGCTTATAGTTAGGGTGGCTCAGGTTATCCTGAGCTATCTCTATAGTTATGCTGCTATAGGCTTAGACTTTTGGAGGACATAGGGACCCCCATTTCATCATTCTGCTTCATTCTCTCTCTGTTCTCCTATTCTGCAGAATCTGTTAGTTCAATCTCTAACCTTCTGCTCTCTCTGCTTTTCCTCAGAGTAGCTTTGCCTCGTCTGTTCCTGTTTGGCTGTGACGTCATCCTGGAAAAAAAACATCAGCTGTGCTGCTTCTATCAACACCCTTGTTAATAGATGTTGGAGATCGGCCTGTTTTCCAGTGTGGTCCTGTTTCTCTGACCGTGACTGAGTGGATGTGCTCTCTTCGTCCTCTGGCATGGGAGCTGCCTTGGAGCTCGTCTGCCTGGCTGTGTGTTTCCTGGACGGGGCCGCCTTTTACAGCTGCTTTTTGTATCTCTGCTTCTGTCTCCTTGAACCCCAGTCGGCCTCAGCAGATGGCCGCTCACACTGAGCCTGGTTCTGCTGGAGGTTTCTTCCTGTTAAAAGCGAGTTTTTCCTCTCCACTGTCGCTACAAGCATGCTTAGTGTGAGGGATTGTATTTGAGTCAATGAGTCAATGCAATCAACTGGTTTTCCTTAGATAGAAAACTTTGTATCAATTTGACTGTATGATCTGGTTGAACTGTAAAGTGCCTTGAGATGACATGTGTTGTGAATTTGGCGCTATATAAATAAACTGAATTGAAATTGAATTGAAGTGAGTCCAGTCTAAACATGAGGACTTGATGAGACTGGAGTCTGGTGCTATTGCTTGGTTGGAAAGAAAACCTGCAGCCATACGGCCCTTTCTGGAACCGGTTTAACACCCTTGATTTAAAACGATATAATTGCACATAAAATAAAGAGCTACCAGTGTTTGTGGATGGTGGAATCTGTCTATGCTAACACATGTTCCCATTGCTGCAGGACCAGTGTGATCCAGCCCATGCAGTTTGGTTCAGACGGGAAGATGAGAGCGATGACCACAGAAGATCTGAAACAGCTGACCACCAACCCGCTGCTCCAGGCAGAGGAGCCCGCTGATCCAGACAGCGAGGACGAAGCCTAGATAACACGCCACCATGGTTCAAACGGCGTGACGTCACTGCTACCATCTATAACCGTATCCAGTGACTCGCACCACGCCGCTCCTCTGTCCGTGTTCTGATTGGACGAGAGGGGAAGCTGTTTAGCATAAGTGAGAAAGCAGCATTTATTCAGCTCCGAATTAACCAATAAGAACTGATCGATTACTATTAGCTCTGGTGTTTGAAGATATTTTTACTTAATCCTACGAATTAGATTCAGCGTCACCATCAGAAGACTTCAGGAATAAAATCTTCACTGTTTTTTTTTTTTTTTAAGTGGCTTTAAATGAGGGGAATGCAAGGAGCTGCTCCCTGGAGGAAAAGTTTTTAGATGTTTGAGAGATTGTAGAGCTTTTTACAAGATGAACGATGTTACTGATAGAGACGATGTATTTTAAAACAATGCTGCTTAGTTCATGCATTTGAGAGACAGCTTTATTTTTGAAACAGGGTTTAATTAAAACATATGGATGTTATTTTTCAGTACGCCCCAAAAATATTTTATTTCAATAAGTAAAATATGGGGTGCCGTTTGTAAAGTAAAGCATTTTAAAAATGAGGGGAAATATTTTGGGTTATTTAGCGTGTGTAGAAGCAAGGATGCATTTTTGTCTTGTCTCTAAGGGCAGGGTGCATGTGTTAGAGGTATGTATGGGCATGTGTGGGTGGAGCTATAAGTGGGTGTTGGCATGTGTGGGTGGAGCCTAATGATTGTCTAATGAATATCAACTGGATCTGCTCAGGGGCTGTTTGATTCAGAAAGAGGCTAAGGCAGGGTGCCAATATTTCTGTTGACCGCAAGTTTAAAGTTAAATAAGTCTGCAAGTCTACCTGTTGTACAAATCTTCACAGAAAAAGGGTACAATAAACATCCCTAACTGCAGTAAAGCTTTAGGTTTCCTCCTTGGATTCAACACGTCGAACAGATCCTTGCTCTCCTCTCCGTGACTAATTTTTGGATGATAGTCACATTATCTTTTAAGAGAAAAATAAGGGGGTTATTTTTTTCCAAATAATTTTTTCACTATCTCAATCATTCATTTATAAAAATCTTACTTTGTTAAATATTTAATTTGGAGCTAAATATTTAGCTTGCAAATGACATATTTAGTTTATTAAATAAATATTTAATTTGGAGCTAAATATTTCGTTTGCAAATTAAATATTTAATTTGTTCAATAAATATTTGGCTCCAAACAAAATATTTAGTTCCAATCTAAATATTCAAAGTAAGATTTTCATAAATGAATGACATAAAAAAAATAACCCTGTTATTTTTCTTTTAAAACACGCAATACAACCAAAAATATTGCTCCTTATATTTGTCTGCCCAACTTTACAAACGGCTTTCCATGGTAAAAAAAAAAAACATACTTTACTGATGGATACCTTGACTATGATATAAATATAATCTATGAAAATCAACGTTTGCTGCTTTGTATTGTAATCTAAAAGCTGTTTTTAGACAGTAAATAACACTTGCATCAAAATAAGTTCACTATCTGTGGTCTATTTATTTGAAGATTGAGGTTTTTGCAGAATATTCTTGGAAAAAAGATTTTTCTTAGAGACACTTGAACTAGATTTTCTTTTCTTTAGATGACTGCACTATAAACAGCCAGTGCTCACTTATTAAGATATTTATACACTTGTCCATCTTCTGACATGCTTTATCCCAAGCGGGGTGGCAGAGGGGGCTGGTGCCTATCTCCACCTGTCTACGGGTGAGGTCCACTCTGGACAGGTCTGCAGTCCATCACAGAGAAAAACAGCCATTGAACATTGAGGTTATGTAGAACCTGATGGTCGGCGGCGTGTTAGAAACGTTCAGCGCTCTGATCTTCCTCCTGCTTTGATTGTTAGAGCTGTTTCCTGTGATCTGCAGGTTTATACGATAACTAATATGAGAGAAATGATGGACACGTAGTGAAAGCAGCAGGAAAAGGTCAACAATCTCAGGATTGATGGCGAGGGATCCTACAGCCTCAGCTTACGAGAAAATGGAAATGTCCCGACAAATTTATCACATGATTCTGTGATTTTATGCTAAATTACACCCTGACTTTTCCATCAGTTCAGATTACTTATCCAGAAAAATAACAGTGTTGGTTTATACCTGAACATGCAGGATGTTTCTGTTCGGAGCAAAGTGCAAAAGGCAAGGTTCTGTAGTGTTTCAAGGTTTGGTTGAGTTTTTCTAGATTTAACGAGAGGTTTACAAACCACTGAGGCAGAAATCCAATAATCAAAAAATCCAACATGAAAAAAGTAAAACAAACCAGCACCATGGAGACATCGGGGGGGGGGGGAACAATCACAAAGTATGACGAGTTACACGAGGAACCAGCCTTGCGGAACAGCACAGGGAGAGTATTTATGGCTAACTGAACAAAGAGAGGACTAACGAGCAGATTGGGAGCAGGTGTGAAGAGAGTAGTCTAAGGAGCTAGGGAAAAAGTAGACCAACACCAGAGGGCAACAAAAAAAACAACCTTAGAACTAAAATATAACAGAAAACACAATAAAATAAGAATAAAACCAATAAAACATGGAGCAAAGTTAAACTGAATACTCAAAAGGAAAAATAACAGAATCAAGACTGTGACATAGTGCAGCTTTAATGCGACAGAAGGAGCTCCCAACTGTCACTGACTGCTAATGTTAAAGTCTAACTCACCCCGATATAAAAGCTTAGAACCGCCCCTAAAATCTATTTTGAAATGATACATTGAAAGTGGCTGGTGCAAAGGGTCCTGAGGCTAATTGAGAGGATGAACATTGGGGGTTTATTGGGGGGTGTGATCAGTTAGCTTAGCTTAGCGATATTGAAGCATGGAGGTTAAGGGAGGCTTTGTGGAGCCCGCTAGGCCAGAAACTGACTAGTTTGAGCCGCTTAGTTAGCGATAGCTGAAGATGGTACTGCTGAGGCGGCAAGGGCATGATTAGTGGCTCGAGTAGCCAAACCCAATTAAGACTGAACTAATAGGTTTCAGATATTGCAGAACAGAAGAAGTAAACATGAAAAGGTAAAAATCCACCATAAAAGAGCCATTTATACATTTTATCAGTAAAAATTTTACTTGAGGTGAGTTACACTTTAAAGTTCCTACAGGGAACCAAAAGTCGACTAAACCAAAACATTATGTGTGTGTTCGCATCTTTTACACAGATTAAGTGTATAGCTCTCTCCACTCCAGTTTACTAGTGGGTGGTGCCCCCATGAGTCCCCCAAAACGGAGGGGATTTCCCAACACCTGCTTTTATGATGTATTCACGTTTTATCTCATACAGGCTATGGCTGTATCTACTTATCTTTCATTGATTAATATAAAATAAATAAACCTAAATATCCACTCGGTAGTGTTGTAGTCATGACCACACCAACAGACCAAGGTGTACAGAGGCGGAGACAAGGCCAAGAGATCAGAGACCGAGACAAGGTCAAGACCGTCAGAGGCCGAGACAAGATCAAGAACTTTGGAGGCCAAAACAAGGTCAAAACCACACCTTGGTCAAGACAAGGTCAGGACCTTCAGAGACCGAGACAAGGTCAAAACCGTCAGGGGCCGAGACAAGATCAAGAACTTTGGATACTGAGACAAGGTCAAGATCTTCAGAGACCCAGACAAGATCAAGACTGTCATAGGCCTAGACAAGGTCTACGCCTTCAGAGACTGAGACAAGGTCAGGACCGCCAGAGGCCAAGACAAGGCCAAGACCTTTAGAAGACAAGGTCAAGACCTTCAGAGACTAAGACAAGGTCAAGACCTTCAGAGACTGAGACAAGGCCATATAGGTCTACGTCTTGGTCTCGGTTGGTGTGGTCTTGATTACAACACTATCATTTGGTTTTCTAACCACTCTGTGTGCCAGTAAAACACATCTACTCATTTCAGTTGGGAAGAAACAAGGGTGAGTCATAAAATTGTCCAAGCACCCTTTCTAGATCACCTTTAACACTCCCATCTGTTGCATAAGCAAAAAAAGAAAAAAGGAAAGGCACAATTAGAGATCTGTTTTTGAGTGAGAAATATAGCTTTTCTGTGTCCTTTCTGTGCCCTTGGAAACTAAAGGGCACAGAAGCGCACTGAGAAGTTGAGGAGAAACTGACACTCTTGCAAGAGAATGTTCAAATTTATTTAATGTCCTCAGATGGAGAGATGGAGCTCTGATTGGGGAAAGCTAAGTTCATTCATTTATACAACTCCCAATACACACACTCTCCCTGGGAACTATCCCACCCCTACATAAAGAACTTTCTCACACGTGAACATTTGGAGGAAAAACAACTTGAGTTCATCAAGGCCGTTCCCTGTTAGCTTAATATATCTTTCACTGGCCAGATGGGTCTTCTTAAAACACCAGTCCTCCCCTTCACGCCCTGAAGGAAGCTGGGTAACTCATTCTTATCTCTCATGACCTTCGTTTGGAGCCTGTGAGGCTAAGAACAGACATACCTCAACCTTTTTTTTTTCTCCACAGCACTTTTGACAATAAAGAGCCTAATGGACTTCCTTCCAATTATAGTGTCAGATGTATGCAAATCTGATGTCTTGCGCATGCTTATTGACTATGGGTATGCTGGTCTGATGGGGTATGCTGATCTGACAGAACACTGTCCTACGTGCTTGTCCCCAGTTAGCTGTCTTTTTCTGTTCATGCACACTTTTATTGAAGATCACCTTTCTCACCGCGGTTCTTTGAAAATGGCCAACGGTCTTAAGAGAAAAAAGTGTCTATGAAGTGCATGAGAAGAAGAGAAAGGCCTCAGAAGAGAGAAACCAGACCAGAGTGTTTTTAGGAGATTCTTTCATGCGATGGCCTACGCTGAAAGCACGGGTCGGGCTTCCCCCTGATGCCTCGGTTTCAAAGTTTCTACTAGACAGGTAAAGTTCGGCGATTTAGATACATTTGCATCGTTAGTAGTTATATGGTGGCCACAGTCTATTATTTACCCCACAAACATTTCCCTACCGCACACACACAGATACTAGCAGGTCAGGATTTTTTTTAATGTACCAGTAGTCTTATTTGCGGGGAAATGTTTTATATAAAAATATGGGTGAGATGAGATCCATCAGAGCGACCGTCTAATGATTGCATCTTCGATGAGAATTAGGCTCGTGCATGTTCTTGAACGCGTTTAATAGGTGTTCCCTCTTGGGAGCGGGTACAGGGTTGTGCATGTGGATTTTTTTTTTAAGTGGAGAGGACGGGTCTTTTCAAAAATTTGCGAAAAACCACTAATATACCTTTAAATTAATTCCGGTCTTTATTTATCTGAATGAAGCGATGGAATATAAACTAAACTAATAAAAACTATGATACAGTTTTAAACATGGCAATAGATGAACCATTTAATATATGTTATCTATAAGATGAGAGCCCAAGAAAACCTGAGATGTCTCTTTCTTTTGCAAAAAGGTTAAACAGTAAAGGTAGGACTGATGATTCACATGCTGATGCAGAACAACAGACAGGATGTTTTATGTTTTATTCTCCCGTGTTAATATGGAAGTTAGGTCCCTCTGAAGGCAGCTGCGCCTCGGAACTTCCCTACCGGTTCTTTTCCTGGGAGCAAGTTATTTACGAACTCTTAACTCAAACTGGGTAAAACCATATAAAAAAAGGACTACAAAAACAGGAGTAAAAAAGTAACAGAGTTTATTCCAGATCAGGTTGGTACAGGACAGAGAAAATGCTTGGAGCTTGCACAGCTGTGGGTTAAAAAAACGTCAGCAAGTGTCCGGCAAAGATTGAGCCCCGAACAAGGTAATCTCCTCCTTCTTATACCTCATGAGTCTATGTGTTGCATCATGTGGATGTTTAGCTGTCCGTATCAGAAACTGACACGCCATCAATGCCCCGAACTTTAAGCATCTTGCGTCTATACCTCCATACACACAGTGACATCCACAATGTGAAGGAAGGCCATCTACTCTGTCTAATCTGGCTAACAGAATAACAATGCACATGATGTATAAAGAATAAACCTAACACCCAAGACGAACTGAAGGGCTGAAAAGATTTGGTTAAACAGAACAGACTGATTAAAACAGGAACATGCTTAGAGATTTGTAATGTTTA